TTGTTTTCTCCAAATACAGCCTTGCACAACTTATATAAATTTTACACGAGGGTACCATTAGAATTTTCTTGAAGAAATTAATCTAATGGTACCAGTCTGGTTCTCTAATTTTACAGTTTGTGAAACTTCAAGTTAGAGCGTATGGAGGTTGAAGACGACATACGTGTTGTGCTTCAGCCAATGATAGCGTGACATGTGACTTTTTTGAATCTTATCCAGTGAACTTGTCTTACTATATGCACATTTTGAGGATCATTAGATCTGATTACTTTCATTAGTCAGACTATATCCAACGCGCCTGATTTTTTGTTGCTTTTAAATATTAAAAATTGATTTAGTGTGATTTCCAAAGATGACCATATTATGTACAACGTGTCAGATCCCTTGGATCTGCTTACTAACATGTTTTGACATTAATCTAATGGTCCACATTATTTGGCTTTATTTTTATTTTCTGACTTTCTATATTTAATTGTTTTGAACTTCAAAAAATCATAGAAAATTCATTTCTGACTCAAAAATTATGAAAAAATTCACAAAAATATTTTTAAATATTCTCTTTCTGATTTTTATTTTTTCATAATTTTATTTTCAGAGTTGATATTTTTTATGATTGTTTCTTTTTGTTTGACTTGATTTTTAATTGTTTAAAAATACTTTTGGGAATTTTTAAATTCTGAAAAAATTCACCAAGATCATTTTCTTTATTTCCGACTTTCTGGAATTTTTCTAGAATTTTATTATGATTTTTACTATTTTCAATCATTTTTTCACTTACTTGAGTGATTTTAAATTAATTTAAAAATACTTTTCTGTTTTAAAAAATTACTAAATTTTTGTAAAAATACTTGAGATCATCTCTGACTTTTCTATGTTTTCTTTTAATCTTTATTTGATACTTTGAATATAGTTTGTTATTTTGCCTTTTATTTTCACTTAAAAAACAATTTAAAAACAATTTTTTTTTAATTTTTCATATTAAATGCAATTTTATTTTTGAATATTCTGGATGAGCTTGAACTATGTGATTTTTAATCATGAGCTTCATTAACATCATTGGATCTTGGGTGTAGAGTTTAACTCCACCAAAATGGATGAATGATTTTAATGATAGTTTGATTAAAATATTTAGTTCAAATGTTTACCCTCCCTCTTCATCTTATCCATTTCTTACTTGTGCTACATGTTGTTGAAGAATGATCTACATATTATTTATCTAAACATATGGTACATAGATTGCTATTGATCGGTCTTAAAATAGGCGCAACTTCTATATAAGTCCACTTATGATTGCTTAACATAGCGCTAAACTTTGTCCTGATTCGAGAAATGATCATTCGTGGCCCAAATCTATGTTAGCAACCCCAAGTATGTTTAATTTGAAACCTTTGATCCAATAACCTTGAGGTTCATTGTTAGGAGGCTTTGGTATTATCAATCCTCTAATGAACCATCATAAATTTTGGTCTAAGTGAATCATTTAAACATCGTTGATCATTTGTTGTTGCCTCAAGAATTTTAAAATGAATGATATACTTGACAAAAAGAAAATGAAATTTGTTGTTGAGAAGCTTTGATTTTATCAATCTTCTAATGATTTTTCAAATGCAAGTTTCAAGATGGTCATTCAACTAACCTCTAATTCCTAACTCATTAACAATTGACTTTTATTATGTTTTTTTTACTTATGGCCTTTATTTTATGTCTTTATTTTTATGCACCATTTACTTTAACATTTACATTTCATGCTATTTTCATCTTTGCTCACTTGAGCATTTATCTTTATGTCATTTTGTTTTGCTCACTTGAGCTTTTAATTTTCTTTTTGAAGACACTTAATAATCAACTTGATCAATAAAAAGCTTTAAGGTTACTTGGACTATTTGGTTACTATTCTTGGCATTATGGAATTATGGACCTCTTGGACTTAGGATTAGAAACCTTGACTACCCTTGAGACCTTGTGACTTCTATTGTTATTTGGTCTGGAGTTCTTGGGGGTTACCCCTAAGACTTTGAGTTTATTTTTCTTTGTGTGCGAGTTATTCTGATTATATGTTTTGTCTATGATGGGGAATTTCTATGTATACAGCCGTTACTCTGCCCAATTTTTGTGAAGACTTAATGCATCAGAAGCTTGGTTTTCTTAAGAGGTTTAATATCTTTGCTTGTTTGGTTTCAATCCAAAGGATGGGAATTCTACATTGACTCATTGTGTCAACTGTTGGCTTTTTGTTGGTTAGACGATTCTTTTCCCTAGCTTTTACCTTATGCCTTAGGATAGTCCCTTTATATCCTCCTATCTTCTTTAATTTCAAAAATCTTCTCCCTCCTTTCCAACAATATTCTTGTTTTCTAAACTTGAACCGCTTTCATAATAAACTTGGACTTAGGTCCATGTATTTTCAAAAAATATTTTCTTAATAAAACTTTAACCAACTTAATAATACTTTGACATTTTTTGTGAGAAGACTAAAAGTCAATCAATCTCATTCAAACCATTTTTCCACTTTGCCTTTTTACTTTAAACTTTTTTTCAAAATATTAGACTCTTGTCGATCCTTGTAGTGATGCAAGTTACTATACTTTTACGATATGTAGTGAAGTGAGATATTTTCCACTTGGGTGTTGAGCGAGGCTTTGTTGATTTTAAAATCCAAGCCATATCCTCCACTTTGATTTGATGCAAATTCTCCTTTCTCATAATCATGTGTAGTAAGTATGCCTTCCACTCGGATATAACGATGATGTCTCGCCTCTTAAAGATAACAAACACATTTGTGTTTTAAAATTTTTAAAGGTGAACTACGAGTACCCTGGTCCCCTATTGCATAAAACATGGTACATAGGCACTAAAGGTTCGCAACCGCGGCGGGTGCAAAAATTGTAAAAAAATACTTCTTTTTCTCATCTCCACCATCTATTTTTGTATACAACACTTATGGCCAAAATACACAAATTTTCAAACAGGTTCTTGCAGAGTACCATAGATATTTAGGGTTCTAACACCTTCCCTTTGCATAACCAACCCCTGTACCTAGATTCTATCTCCCTCTCTTTTTGGGTTATTCACTCGTTTCCCATTCCTTTGGAAACAATAAAGCACAGTGGTGATTTTTATTTGATCTGTGCGAGTTAAGTCATTCCAATGGCTTAGTCTCAACATTTCTACCGCTACAATTAGAACTATATCTAATGAATTAAAAGTGAAAAAGAAGGTGTAAGAACAAGATTGGTTCTGCATCTTGCCTTATGTTTTGATGATAACTTTACATGTTATCTTAGAGAATAATTATGTACTCTAATGGTTTCTGTCTAGTGTGTAGATTTTTTTAAATAGGTTCTGACTCTGGTAAGAAGGCATGTGACATCACCAGGGTCTGAACTTAACACTCTAGAAGAATAACTTTGGTGTGTTACAAGTTAAGTCAAGATTTTGGAATTCTTCTTATGCAACGGTTTTAAGGAATGTTAGTACAAGAGCTTCTGATCATGGCTTAAGCAAGGAAGCTTTGGAGGCCTTCTAAAGCTTTACTTTTGTTGTTCCAATATCTGAAGATGCCGAAGAGAAGGTTCTGCTGAATAAGTTTTGAAGATCTGAAGACATTCTTCTAAAGACCAAGTGCTGAAGACTCTTAAGGCAAGGGTTCTCTGAACAAGCTCTGAAGACTCGAAGACTTGGGTTCTGAAGATACAAAGTTTTGATCCTTCTACAACATGCTTCATCAACATACAAATTAGAAGCCTCTGAAGATATAGAAGACAAAGATCAAGACTAGGGATTGCGTGTGATGGTGAGAATAAAAGTACAAAGTACTCTGTGACCCCTACTTTAATAGGGTGGCGTCAGGATAAACCTTTTTGTATTTGTTATCTACCTCTCCCATTATGACCATTGAAAACAAAACAACTATATTCGTGTTTCCTATTCTACCCTCCAACTGATCTCTTTTTCAGCTATAAAAGGAGGACTTGGAAGAATTTGAAATCAACAAATCAACTCTACAAAACTACACCAAACCACTACACAAACTCTTTTGAGAAATTCTTTGTATCGTTTTGTAAATAAGCAAAGAGATTTTATTCGTATATTGCTATCAAAACTTTTGTGTTGTTGTACTTAAACACTTTTGTTCATTTCTTTCTAGGGCATGATGTTGATCTTTGGGATATGGTAGTTGATAGCTAGGATCCTCCCACAGATGCTGCTGGGAAGAAGCTTGAAAGAAGAGCCATGAATAATCAGCAAAAGAAGGATTATAAGAATCATCATAAATAAAGAACCATCTTGTTGAATGTTATTTCTTATACTGAGTATGAGAAGATTACAAATAGAGACTCATCTAAGTCTATATTAGTGTAGAAAGTGGAGCAACCACCAGATATGGAGAAACATTCTCTTTGAAAAGAGATGCCAAGAAAGCAATCCTTTGTATGGTTTTTCCTGAATATGAAAAAGCAAGCCATCAAAAACTTATGCTTCAGCTAGAAACTCCAAATTAAGAATAATAGTAAAGAAAAGTGATATTAGGGAGAGGCAATAAATAGATTGAGCACGAGAACAATTGAGACTAAGTATCAAGTCCCATTTCATCAGCAAGTATAACATGCGTTTCATTGGCCCAAGAGAATCGTAGAAAGTTCAATCCTTCAAGTTGATATGGATGTAGTGCACCTTCATGTACATAAATATATGAAATCAGGATCATTCAAATCTAATAAATCAAAGACAAAAGGCGTGCTTTTGCCAAAATAATAGATCAGTCAAAACACATACCCCCCCTGAAAGAAACTTTGGGCTTTGTTCATATTGTTGAAATTCTTTCTGCTGCTTTATCAATTCAGCATCATCACTAACCCTGCTTTTTTGCTTACTGTCTTAGACTGAAATATATTGAATCTCTCTATTTCTGCTTGGAACAAAGAGATATCTGACTCAACTCCCAATGACATTCATCATAAGGAAGCTCTTTCCACTTCACAAGATATTCCTTCTCATTATCATTTCCCCTGACCCATTTAAACAATATTCCATGAACTGAGTATTTGACAACACTTTCATAGAAAAGATAGAATAAAATTATCCCAAAATTGTTCTAAATGATTAAGCAACATATTTCAGTGGCAAAATCCTCTCAACTTAAAAACAAAAAAAATCTTGATCTCAACTTAACATCTTAAAAATCTTGATCTCAACTTGACAACTTAACATTTTAAAAGTTAATATTAGGAAGGAGATCATGTTAAGTCGCTATGCAATTTGGAGTAGATCAAGATATTCCAAGTTATGTGTCGAGATTCAATGAGACTAAAGAGGTTGCTTGGAAAAACTACCGCAGGCTCATAACTGATAGGGTTTAAGCCTTCTCTCAGCACTGGATCCATGATACAAAGTGGATTCTTCACTTCGTTTGAAAGATGAATCGAGACAAAAACATGTCCTTTATCATGAGTGAACTGAAATGCACCAAGTAAAATAATTAACAGATATTATAAAACGAAAACAGTTAAAGGAGAAGATAGTGTAACGTGAAATATAGCGAACCTTTAGTGAGTTTCCGACAAGATTGGTAATTATTTGCCGGAAGAGTTTAGGATCGCTGATGATAACTTGAGGTACTTGGTTGGACGCGTATACAGCCAACTATGTCCAACTAAACATATAGAGAACATAAGTTTATCTAAGACTTCTTAATACTGAAATAATTGGAGGTACAAAACAAAGTAAAATATCTACGGTTTGGTACCTCAATTCGTTTTTCAATGGATTTTTCAAAGAAATGTGTTAGAACTTCATCTAGAATAGCATGTGGATGAAAAGCTACATCTTCGAGTTCAAGCCTTCCTGCCTCGATCTTAGCTTGTTCGAGAACCTCACTTATGACCGATATAAGATCTTTACCACTATCATGAGCAGTTTGGGCACAATCGATCTGATTGTCATCAAGGTCAGTATCCATCAACATTTGCAGCATACCTGGAAAATGATTTGAAACGGTTGAATATTATCACCGAGTATTGACCAGTTCAGATTATCTTAAACAACAAAAACAACAAATCATCCTTCGCAATTACCTAAAACGCCGTTCATTGGAGTCCTGATCTCATGCGAAACTATCGCGAGAAACTACAAAAACAGAAAATAATCCTCAGAGATCAAGAGAAAACTATTAATTTTAATTACTTAAAAGGTAAAATAGTTCTCATGTCGAAGAAACGATCCCATAAATATATAGAACCTGAGATTTTGTGACATCTGCAGCCTCAGCACGAACCATGAGCTCTTTCATTCGACGATACTCATCCTCTACTTGAGCTATCCGATTTATTGCTGCATGAAATATATGCCCAAGAAGCAAGGTATAACAAAAACTCCCACGGATGCATTGAATGCAGTCCAAGGAAATGGAGCCATTTGCTTGAACCTGGCAAAAAAAATGGAAATATACCAATACGACAATTCAATTCTTCTTTGATAATAAAATAGAACTTTATAGTGAAAACAAACTTGCAGTGCAACTCATGCTTTCGTAGCGGATCCCCAAAATCTAGACCGCTTACGTGTAATAGGCTAGTATCAACAACATCAGTACCATACATTGTAATATGTGCAGATGCATTAGTTGTGTCATAAACATTAACAACAATGGTTTGCTTGCTGGAAAGTTGGTGAAGAAGCTTGTCCACAAGTGATGGAACATCATAAGATGCGCCCAGATACCCGACAGTAGCTATGACACGCTGTTCGGGTGTAGCATCTGGAGGAAGCTTAGAGCCATAAACATCAAATGTAAGTACAACACCTAGGTGAGTAGACTTTAGTAGTTTAAAAGGGGATGTCATAACACCCTTCCCGGACGCCTTTGCTCATAAAATATTATCACGATCCTCCTATATTATTTTGCTATCGACCAAAATACAATTATAAGTAAAGTAAAGAGCATTTAGGTATATATACTTAACTATGGTAGAAAAAGGTAAATAAGATATAACAGCCCAAGAATATTCGGAACCTAAAAATTCAATCTAGATCACTAACAGTTTAATATTTCAACCAATTTTCTAACAAGAAAACTCAACATATCAGTTGACAGTTCAAAGGCAACATGACTAATGGCATTTAACATAAGCTACTACTTTCGTTGTCCCAAGAATCCTTCTCTATAAGAATCATGGCCAACTGTGTTGACATACTGAAAGAACAAGGAATCAAAACAAAAACTAAAAATTACTTTGTGATCTGAATGTTTATCTTAAACTGAAAAAACAAAACATTACCTTGAGTTGCAATTCAAACCCTACTTCAACTATTACATTTCATAACAAAGCAAACATTAAAAATAAAGGAGATAACAAAACATAACATCTACAAATTTCCAGAAAATTTCTCTGATTTCAGTTGGTTCTTCAAATTCTTGTTCTTCTTCTTTGAATCTTCATACATAGCCTTCAAATAGTTCATGGCTTCCATACCTTCCATCTCTGACTTCATAATGCTCCCATATTCATTTCCACCTTTTTCTCCCATATCTTCATCCCATATGAACAAATTACATGTCTCGTCACTCCTCCAAAATGGACATCTCCAAAAAAGCCTTCCTTTATTTAGTCCCCTCTTGCATCGGTATGAAACCATACGACCATCACACCCACAAAATTTTTCAGATCGAGATTTTACCGAAGAAGAAGACATAGAAACACCTTTAGATGAGTTTTCCATCTTTGTGTTTCTTAAAACATGTAAGTAATGAAAATCTGAAAATTACAACCTACTTTGATTATTGACTCATGTAACTAACGAAAAAAATAAAATTATAAAGAGCTTTTCACAAGTAAGAACGGCTAAACTCATCAGAAAAATGATTTGAAACCCTAAATGGCTAAATCGAAAAGATAATTCGCTAACTAAAAAGACTGCAATTCACAATTAAGCTAAATTCAGTCCACCAAATTAAATTGCATAGGAACAGTCCAAATTAAAAATCTTATATTTAACTATGTCAAGCTATTAAATTGATTATGTAAATGGTTTTCCAAAAATGCTCCTTCACTGCCCTTGTTTCCACTTCAACCTATGAGGTACTTACTTATTCTTCAAGTTAAAATCAATTCTAATTTACAAATTCAAAACATATCAAATATCAATTATAAGTCCCCAAAATTAGTTATTCATATGCTTATGTTAGTTTTTAGGATTTTAACCTAGAAACCAAATGTCAGCATTTGAGTTTGATTTATAGCCAATGGTAACTAACAAGGTGAACTAGCTAAATGCAGTTAAGAGAAAAAAATTGATAAAAAATTAAGTTTGAGGTAATGAAGAAAACATCACTACAGTACAGTTCTGAGGAACATGAAAAGAAGTAAACCAAAGGATATCAAAAGAAGAAGAAAACCTGTTATGCTGTGTTCAACAGCGAAATCAACGGATAAATACAGAGGAGGAATGGAGGACGGAGGAGAAGAAGAAATGAGTTTTTCTTACAATCAACAGGGGAAGAATGAAGAACAGAGGAAGGAGGTGCGTGAGAGAAGAAGAAAATAGTTTTCCTAGGTTTAGGGTTTTTCGTGAGAATTAAGATAAACAGTTATGAGAAAGATAGAATCTATTACATAACACTTCATGAAGTGGTGTATTGTATTATTATAAGATGTACCATTGCAACATATTCGGTCGATAGGCTGGGTGGATGTGACAGATGATGATGTCTGAGCTTACAACTCTAGACAAGATTTCAGGCTACAAGTCTTTTAAAGACCATGGTGGAAAGATGATACAGGTGAGAGAAAAAGTGAGAGCGACACCACTGTCACCGTCGGACCTGTTATCATCCCTCTGAGCCTTCGAAGTTGAAATTTCTTTTTAAACAGAAAAATCCAGAATTTTATTTTAACCTGGGGATGGAAAGTTTTCAGTTTATTCATTTGTGCATTCAAATACAAGAGTTTCATTCAAGATACCTTTCAATAAGGTTGAACTCCCAAGCTTTCCTCCACATACATCAAAGAAGCATCTAAGATGTCCTTCAAATCAAAAGTGATGACGATGATGGTTCTTCATAATGGTTAAGCCAGACAGTCATTATTTTTCTAAAGCAAAAAAAAAAAGTGATGAAAAAAATTAAAAAAAACTCAAGAAAAGTCCGCTAAGTCGAAACATGTGAAGGAGACTTAGGCAAAAAAATAAGACATCTCGCTGACTCTAAATCTCAAGTAAAACAGTTCAGGAAAAAGTTAGGGATAATAAAGAAAAAATCAATCCTAAAAAAAGAAGTTGACAGAAGTCCTCAACATTTTTCGTCTGTTACTCTCAGGATTTCGTTCTCTTCCAGTGTTACCATGACTGTGTACCAGGCACCGTCTTCGTGATTTATGAACTTCGTGTTGTAACTCATCGTCTTCGTCGATCCCAATTCCTTATGCATTTGATTTTTACTATTTCATTCTCCTCATTTTATAAAAATCGAAGATCCCAACCTACTTGCATTTTTTCATGCCATCATTTTTCAATTCTTTGGAAAATCTTTGAGACTTCGATAAATGCTTCTGACCTCAATCCTTTCAGGTTCTTCATTCAAACTTATTATGATTTGATTCTATCAGATTCTTCTTTGCGCCACATATGATTGCATTCTTTGAACGAATCCTTGGACCCTTGCACCAAACTTTGCAACTGAGTTCGATTAGGCCCCATATCAACGTTATATTGATACTGCTCAATGAATGCCTCAACAAGATCCCTCCATGTGTGAACGTGTGCACGCTCCAGTTACATGTACCATTCCAAGGAAGCTCCAGATAAGTTGTCCTGGAAGAAGTGCATTATGTTCATGATTAACCACTAGTTAGCAGAACTTACTTCTTATTGTTGGGCACGCAAGACTGTTTTGTTTTTATCCAGTCATCTAATATTCAAACGTAGATCATAAGTTAGAGACTGGTTATTCTGTCCTTGCTATTTCTATAACAGCACTGATGTCACAACATCCTTTATGACATTCGTGACTGTTATGCCATAATTTCAGTCCTCAACATTTTTCGTATGTTACTCTCAGGGTTTCGTGATTTATGAACTTCGTGTTGTAACTCATCGTCTTCGTCGATCCCAATTCCTTATGCATTTGATTTTTACTATTTCATTCTCCTCATTTTATAAAAATCGAAGATCCCAACCTACTTACATTTTTTCATGCCATCATTTTTCAATTCTTTGGAAAATATTCGAGACTTCGAGAAATGCTTCCGACCTCAATCCTTTCAGGTTCTTCATTCAAACTGTAAGTGTTTTTATGTTGGCTTTAATTTTTGGTAAAACCAGTTTATGTCAATGTCTTGACTGATGTCATGACATTCTGAGTTGAAGATAAATTCTGCAGAAGAAGAATTATACAGGTACAACTCAGTTTGGTTATGAATTGTTATGTTGGAAATCTGCAAGAAGAATGACTGATGTCATGACCAATGTTATAACATTCTGTGCAACATATATTGTTATGCAGATTTACTTTTCCTGAGAGTTTTCAGGATTCTGTTGAGCTGTTTTATTATGGACTATTATGTTGGATCATATGCTCACGTGGTTTGGTGGTTAACCTTGTTTAACCCTAATTGTTATGTTGAAAAGACCAAGTCCTTAGGTTAACTTTTGTTAACCCTAGCTATAATTGTGGAAGCCCAAGTTGAAGACTTTACTGCTTCTATATTATCAAAGAAACCCTTATACTGTGAGATGCGCCTTTTCTGTGAAGAAGAAGAAGCAGACTGTAATTTGTTTTCTAGTTATTCTTGTGAGCCAAACAATTATCTTTTGATAAGTGCCTTGGAGTAGGATTTGGTTGTAAGGGTAGTTTATCACTCAAAGCTTTGAAGCACGAGTGTTGTGTCTCTTGATTAAAGCTTTGAAGCAAAATCAAGTATGTTTATTGAAGAATGTCTTCACAATTCTATTAATCAATAGGTTAGTATCACTGCTATGATTGAGGGGGAGTGAGTAGGAACTCAGGTCTAAGTAGAACTTAGATTGAAGTTGCATTGGGTAGATCTTAAGCGAAGGAGATAAACTGGTTGGTTTATTCCTGAATTAATACTACTTATAATGGATTTCCTCTCTGGCTTGGTAGCCCCCAGATGTAGGTGTAGTTACACACTAAACTGGGTTAACAATTGATTGTGTTCTTTACTGCTTTTAAATTACTGTGTGAATTGTTAACAGTTTGTCAGATACGGTGTCATAACATTCACTGTGACATTAAGTATTTGCTGCCAGAATTTCAATTGGCATCAGAGTAGGCACCCTGCCTGTTATTTCTGGGTGAGATCTAGGGATATTATTTTCTGGCGCTATGGACAAGGAAGGAGGATTTGGGAGCAGGCCACCTATTCTGGATGGATCAAACTATGATTACTAGAAACCTCGTATGGTTGCTTTTTTGAAGTCACTGGACAATACAGCTTGGAGAGCTGCTGACAGAGGATGGAAACATCCCATCAAACTTGAGAAAGATGGGACTGCTAGCCTGAAACTTGAGGAAGAATGGAGCAAATAAGAAGAAGAGCTATGGCAGACTAGTCACTAGGATTCTTAATGAGAATCACTCTGTTCCTGGTGTATCTGTACCATTGAACCAAGAAACTGCTAGCCCAAATTTAGAAAGTGATCCCAATGTCACTCAGAATGTTGAGACACCTGATGACAACATTGAGAAATCTCCAGAGAAACCTGATGATCACCAGACCCCTACTGACAAGGCTGTTGAACCTCCTGTCATTGATGTTGATGAAGAATTTTCTGACAATGATTTAATTGCTAATGTCAACCCTAGCATAGCAAGAAGGATGATGAGTAGAAAAGAAAAGAAGAGTGCTGCCCAAAGCCCATCCAAAGAGAAAGCTACTGAAGTTGTTCATGAGAAAGCTAGGCCTGAGAACAAGGCTAGAGAAGAAGCTGAGAAGGATCAAAAGGCTGGAACTTCCAAAGGGAAGGGTAAGGTAAAAGTTAGGGTATCTGTTGGTAGTCTCTCAAAAACCTTGAGACAACCTATAGCCAAGAAAAGAAAGGCTCATGAACCCTCTGAATCTGATGAGGAATCAGACTTTGATTTTGATGTTGAGAGCAATGTTCCAGACATTCCGTTTAGGGTTTAGGGTTTAAGGTTTAGGGTTTAGAGGGGTCTCATTACCCTGTTCTGACCATATTAATGTGCATGTCCTCACTAACTAGATTTTTCACGCCCCTGCAGATAGTTTATTATTAATATCCCTTCATTCCACTGGGAGAACTTCTGAAGAAAAATCCATAATTTATTGCTCAAGTTCAAAGGATTTGTCATGACGCATTGCAAAATGTTAAAAAACTCTAATAGTGAAATATGATTTCCTCTTTGAAAATGAAGAAATTTGTATAATTAATTATATAAAATATATGCGTCATGCTGACAAAGTTATTAAAAAAAATGAACTAATGAAGTATGTAAAAATGTAAGAGGCCGGTTGAAATACGCCTCATTGATCCTCTAATTACTATGGACCTAACGTTGGGACAATGATGTAAAACAAATATCTGAAAAATAAATAATATGTGATGATCATAGTGATTTAGGGTTTTGGACCAAGAAGGATTTTCTTTTATATGTGATTTTTAATTATTTTACAAACAAAAATAATATTTAAATATATTTGATTTATTAAATTGTTTAATTTAAAAATATATCGACATAGAGA